GGAAGTGGGCTGTAGGGAGGAGACTCTTCCACCCTCTCAAAGTCTATTCTCCCTCCTCCCTCTCTCGTCTGTGTATGTATTCTCCCTCATTTTGGGATCATTATTATTACTATTTATCAGCAGCGTTCGTTTACTTGTCTTTGCGAGTGACGACTGATTATCACGACTGGGCACATTGCAATTTGGTATCGGAGCTCAACTTCCGACATTGTCTACTACGGCGCTCGCGTCTCTCCAACGCAATTGATAACGAGCGCGCCATTTTCTCTCCACGTTCGCGCCCGCAGGTAAGTGAGTATCGGAATGCTTTCTATCGAGCCCGACGACGCGCGCGAAGGATATGGTGATGACGGGCAGTATATTGACTGGCATTGGATTCTGATGCTGACGTGGCACTTCCACGACGACGTGAAATATTGAGTGGGAACTTCTTCTCATGTGCTGATGATATCTCGCCGACGAAACAGAGTTACCGCATTGCTATTTCGCCAGCCAGAGACGAGTGGAGCCAATTGATTGGCTATTTGAGTACTCGTTGGCATTGGCGAGATCAAGCGCTGACGTGGCAGGCTTTGATTGGACTTGGGATGCGGTGAGCAGACTTGTGAAGCGCAGCATTGTGGGAGTTCACCTTCACTAACGGATCCAGGTAACAAGAGAAAGAGCGGCCAGCATTCATTGTTGAAGCCACCCCCACGATCTTTGATTGGTTCGAAGTGCTGACTTGGCAAAAGTTGAGTTGGCATACCAGGGGGTTTGGCCGAAGCAGGCACGACGTGCCTTGGGAAACGGGTGATGCATTCCGACGCTGGGAGCGGCACGAGCGGCAGACTTTGGCTTGTGGTGCTTGTTTGGTGTCGGGGTGATTAGAGTGCATGCTGACGTGGCATTGTGGGGAAGACTGACGTTGATTGGTTGTGTTGTCAGTACTTACCTGTTGTCTGGCTGTGCGTGCACACGTACCTGTGAATGCTAACGATCTTGGCCTGCTCGATTACCTGGAAGAGGAGTCATCACACGAATAGGAGAGAAAACAAAATTAGAACAACTTATAGAAAAAACATCAATCAAGAGAATAATTAATTATTTTTATTTATTTATTTTCTTGTGAATCCTCTGCTGTACTGACGACTGAGTGGCTGTCCAGCCATCAGATAATATTGTCTGTTTCATTTTTATTTGAGAAAGGATTGGCCTGTTAAGTTTCCTGTTGATGTTAATCATGGCACCGATTGTTCAACACATGCGTCAGTCCCTGCTGACCAGGTGGGTGCCATATCTGTTCGGTCTTGGGCATGTGCCTTATGCGGTGGGAGCAGGTAGCTCTTCGAGTGAGCCGCGTACACGTGCCCAGGTCGAGGCACGAAAAGGTGAATTGGGAGAACTTCTCTCCCAGCTGCTGGTGGATATGGAATTCGCTGTCCCAGCCGCAAGAGAACACATCCGTGGTAAGTTTGACCTTGATGCGATCTCAGATCGTTTGGCCAAAGCTACCACGGGTGTAGAGATTGTAGCAGCAGGAATAGATATTCAAAGAGTCATTGGTCAGTGTCGTGAGATACTGGACCAATTCACCATCCAGCAGTTGGAAGAGAGAGCCCATCGGAAAGAGACCGTGCGAGAAGTAAAGGTAGAAAGTATTGAAGAGAACATACAACAGTTGAAAGAGACACTCGCAAAAGAAGAGAAAAAGCGAGAAGAACTGTTGCAAAAGAAAGAACAGGAAACTAGACTACGGCAGAGAATGGGTAGAGTACAGCAGTATGTTTCCTTAGATGAAAAAGATGTTGCTCAGACGCTCGGACAAATATTGACGTATTTGGCTTTTCTTGAAGAAAAATTGGACCAACAGCAATCAAGGATGGATGAACTTGTTGTTGGCCTTCATGTCATTACTAGCATTGTCAAGGGAAAAACCCCTGTGCTTGAAAATGATGAAGAGAAAGAAGATAAAGAAAGAAAAGCCGACGTCAAGCCCGAGAAGTTACTTCTTGGTGGAATGAAAAACGGCGACACAACGAAGAAGGAAACGGTTAAAGAAACCGAGAAGAAACCAAAAGAGAATGGGAACGGGAATGGCAATGGGAATGGCAATGGAGATGGGAATGGGAACGGGAATGGCAATGGGAATGGTGGTCCCTCCGGTCCCACTCCCTGTCCCAAGGACAATGCCAAACCTGCAGATCCGACTAAGCCAAAGAAAAAGGAAAAGGTGAAGATGAAATTGCCTTTTACTTTTTCTAACAAGAAAGAAGAAAGCCTTCCTCTTTGGATTGCTGAGATCCAAACCTACGTTGGGACTGCCCCGGTAGAAGAAGAGTCGCAAGTTGCGTTCACCACTTCTTGTATGGGGGGAGAGGTGAAACAATGGGTTCATGCGGAAGCTAATGCCGCAGGGTTTGACGATATAGGTGATTGGGCGAAGACTATGACCTTGAAGCAGTTCCTTGCAAAAGTCAAGGACCGCTTTCTGGACAAGACTACGGCCGATAAGGCCTTCGACCATCTCACCACGATAGGACAAAAGTCCTGGTCTTCAGTTGAGTCATTGTCTCGTGAGGTTGACCGACTGTTGCAGGTTCCCGGTCTTAACCTGCAGGACTCTCAGGTCCTTTACATTTACTCGCGTGCATTGCCCGAACCGATCCGAGGGCACTTGGTTGCCGAGGCCAAGTCCGGTAAGTATACTTACCGTCAGTTCCGCGACCTGGCATTGCAGCGGGAACAAATGACTTCACAAGTCAAACGTTCCTATGCTGCTGCCATAAAGAATGGAGGAGGAAGCAGTCGAGGAGGCTACGGCAAGCGGATCATATGGCGTTAAAAGCGCCAAGACCACACCCTCGTCGTATTCGACGATGAGACAATGGAGAAATGGCCATTGGAGAACGAGGGTGCTGGTGACAACAACAGTGACCCCGGAAAGGGGGAGGTTACCGCTGCGACGGTCAACAAGGGAGGACCGTTGTGAGGAAACCCGGGGAGGGGCGCCTACCGTTCGCTGAAGCCAAGGGCTACGACGCCTGTCACTCGCCGCGCCCGCTTCCGAGGTTCTCAGCGACCAGCAGGGTTCGAAGTCGGGAGCGTCCTGTCACGCTCCCTTTTTTTCTTTTTCTTCCTTTTTGTAATTTAGCAGCTTCGATCAGCAAGGAGTTCCAACAGTCAACTGGTATCGCTCAACAGTACGTTTCAGCAGTCAATTAATAATTCAGCCAATTGGTATCACTCAACAGTACGTTTTAGCGACTAGGGAGTTACAACAATCAACAGGTGTCACATAGCAGTGCGTTTCATCAGCCAATGGATAGTTCAGCCACCCCACGCAATGGTGAGTTTTTTTGCAGTCAACTGGGAATTGCAACTAGGCCGCCATAGCAAGTTTCACAGTCAACTTTGGATGTGCCACCCCACTCTCTCTTTCTCTCCCATTCGCAGTTCTCGCTCCCTTACTCACGCTGTTCTCCCTCCCTCAGTCTCGCTGCTCTCTCTCTCTCACTCTCGCTGTTCTCTCTCTCTCACTCTCGCTGTTCTCTCTCTCTCACTCTCGCTGCTCTTTCTCTCTCGCTCTCGTTCCCTCTCACTGCCTTTACTAACCATGGTCTTTAGTCGCCGAGCCCTAAGTTCAATCACTTCGGGCGGGGAAAGGGTTTAATATTTACCTGTCTGGCCCGCCTGATCAGCGAGCTCAATTCGAGTGAGCTAATGGAACTCATTGTCGAGGACCATTACGGCCCAACGTTCTGCACTGCTTTAGAGAGCGGATCAAAGTTCAAAGTTCAAAACGTACCCAGGCAAAGGCAGCGACCGGATCAGTCAATTCTCTCCCATGTATATGAGCTGTTGAATCGGCCAGATTATCGTACATGTATCTGCACTGCTTTAGCGGGCAGATCTAAGTTCAACGTTCGAAATGTACTTGGCAAAGGGCAGCGACCAGATCAGCCCCGTTTTCCCCCACGTATATGAGCTGCTGAAACG